CTGGTGTGTTTCATGGTCTGTGTGATTTTGTTTGCTTACTTTTTTTTTTTTAGAAACCTTTAAAAACACCTGGATTTATCTAGAGATTACATAACACAATGGGTGTTTGTCATGTTACCTCTGCCAACTTCCTCTCCACCACCAGGAACGGAGCGATAACTACCGCAACTGGAATGTTTGTAAAAGTTTCTTATATATATATAAAATAATTTCTGTGCTCTTGCAAACTGAGGCAATCAGAGACACAGATGAGAAAAACATCAGATTTTTTATTATTCAAAAGTCTTGATGACTATGAAATAAATTATCTAGACAAAAACAATCTGGTTGTCATTTTATAAATTGAAAGGATAAGTGTATTTAATATTTTTGATGCAAGAGGTCTATTTTGACATCATCAGGACATCATAGTATATGGCAACCAATGATGGATAGGTGAGTCAGATGACTATTTCTAAATTGCTTGAAGATATTGCCTTGGGCCACGTTATTAATTTTGAAAAAAAAACTATATATATATATATATATATATATATATATATATATATATAAACAGTAATTGTCAACTTGCTAGTTTAATTGTTGATTTACAAATGAAAAGCTCATGGACTTAGCAATTGCTGAAGAAAGAAGCACTAATTCAAAGTTTTAATGTCTCTTATCTAACATGGTTCTGGTCCAGGGGTTTGAGACCTGCAGCTGCAGAACCGCTTGTGGCTCTTAAGCATTTTTGGCCAAAGCTTTTACGAGCCACAATTGAGGGCCTAAAATGTAAAGGTAATAAATTCTAGCTTTAGTAGTTTTTCCTATGCATTTTCATGCAACATATGTAAAGAGTTTCCACATAGAAAGGCACTAATAGTTCAAAGCATGTTCCTTTTTTTTGTAAAACCTTTTTTTTTGTCTTTTAGTTGCTAGTTACATGCATTTGTGACATTTTGTATAAAAATTAAGAATATGTTTTCATTCTCTTTACATAGATGTGGTGATTTTCTTTATTTTCAATCACAAAAACAAATATTGATTAGTTATTCAATTTAAAAATGGATATTTTATAAAAATTTGTTTCAAGTAGCAAAAATATCAACTGCTGTTGTTTTAATACTTTCTTCAATATTCCTGAATTTGTTGCTATGGTTATGCTTGTTTTCTCCCGATATTGCCAAGAGATACTTTGTCACCTCACTGCAAACATCTAAAAAAAAAAACAAAAAAATGGTAATTAATACAAATACACACCTTTTTTTTTTGGAGATTTATAAAAAATCTTTGTTGAAAACCATAAAATTCCTCCAAAAAACATGTCTGTGGCTTCAATGTGGTGAAGTCATGTAGTCAGAGAAGCTGATCATCACATTATAGCCTCCTGCAAACTACAACTATTTCTTCATGTTAATAACATTTCTTTAAAATATGGGTGTTTTTATGCCTTTCCTGCGAAATCGATTTTTTTTTCAATCTTTTCCTATTTTATTCAAATAAACTGAACACAATGTAATATTAGGTGTACTTTAAAACATCTCAGCTCAGGGCTATGCATCTTTGTTTTCCTCCTGTCTCACCTTTTTCTCTGTTGTTTCGTCTTGGCAGCAGATATTAGCAGATATAATTTCCACAGTGAATGCTGGGAGGGGGAAAAATGCTTTCCGCTTGCTCTTCCTCTCCTTCGTTCCCTCAGGTTCCAGCTGCTTATTATTTTGCCATGCAAATGCAATCACTTGGAACACTCACCCATGTTTTTATAGTTATTATGATATAATGTATTTATTGTAATCTGGAAATCATGAATAGTTCATCCGGATCTTGTTTGTGGTGCATTTGCATAAAATCGTCTTTTGCCATAACAGTGGGAGTCGACGCAGCGGGGAGCCGAAGGGATTGCGAAATGATCCCACTCTGACTTTTTAATGGTTACCAATTAATTACCAGACAAAATAACAAGAAGTTTTCTCTGCCAAAGAAAAAAAAAAAGGAAAAATGTTTGTATTTAATTTGCAGCTTGGCACATTTGGACGTTGCTGCAGAGCATCTGTTTCCCCTCTCTTCGTCCTCGCTGCTTTATCAGCCACTCGTGGACCGAAAAGGTCACTTAATTTGGAACTCTTTGTTGAATCTGCCAGCAAAGCTGTTTCCTACCATCACAAGCGTTTTCTAAACCACATTTTTCTTCTCCTTTTTTTTTCTGCCCGTCTCGACTCAAAACTCGTTTAATCTGCCAGCTCCGGAGGTCAAGGAATGACACCTCTGTGAAGATTTTGCTACCACAGTCACATTTTAAGAAAAGAAGAAGAGAGAAGACGGATGGTATTTTGTTAGTGTGTGAAAGTGTGAAAGATACAAAGATGAAATCTTTGTAAAGATTTTGTAGAATCTGAGAACTGTACATAAGTAAAAAGTAGTTCTTACTACAGAGGCTGCGTTGATGATAAGCAATGATAAGTCTCGTTAGCTAAATAACAAGTTATGTACGCTAGTGTGTCTTTTCTGAAATTGTAGCTGGGGATTTAAACCTTAAGCTGGACAGAGTTTCAACATAGTTTGAAAAGTATTTACGTGTTTTATATGTCTGGAGGTTTTATTTTAAAAATGTTAAATATGTAAAGTTTGTCAAAATCACCAACTTAATTTCCTCTTTTGTTAGAATGAATGCAATGAACCTGACTGTATCTGTCTTGAAGTCAACCTCCTGTGTCTGAGATAAACAAAGAATGGTTACATATTTACCCATCAATCCACCTGTTTGTGTTTCCATCAGAATTGCAAAAGTTAAAAGACTTCAGACGAGACATCAGAGTAGTTTATTGCAAGACAAAAGACTTCAGACTTTTAAAAAAAAGGACTTGTCAGCATCTCTTTAATACATCCATCTAGTACATTTTTTAGTTTTCCATACCATAAAATGACAATTTTGAATTGATATTCTTAAAACCTGTTTTGTTGTCTGGCTTTTAAATAAATGTGTCTCCAATCCAGACAATGTCAGCTGAAAGATACCTTGCAATGCGTACTGACTCCTAAGATCCTTATTTTGTTTTGCAGAATTGGATCAGCCACCCTGTTGAGAAATCCCTCCAGGTTGTTTTCATTCACCCTGTTGTTACTCAGATCTCTTTGCTGTAGATGAGGGTTAGACTGAAGATAAGGCTGTCACTTTATTTGTGTAGACTTGCTGTTTGTGCAGCTGTGAATTGCACAAAAACAAAAGTGTGACCTGCGTCTGTAAAGAAGAAAACATCAAGAATGGAACGGTTTGAATGAGTTAAAACACTTGTTGTGACCCAGTTTAACAGTTTAAAAGAGAAAATGCAGCAGCTGCAGTCAGTGTACCTAACAGATTCTCAGCTTTTAAATCATGTTGGCCACAGTTAACATATCTAAATGAATCAACATTACCCCACTCACTTCTCATCTCCGCTACACGACACATGGGATATTGAGCCAAAGTCAACCCATTTCGGCTCAGAGTATTGATATTTGCTGGGATGGATACAGCAGTGTGCGAGGCCTTTTTAGCAGATATCTAGAAATACAGCATCCTCAGCGTTCCACTGATTATTCGGTTCACTCCTCATAGACCCCACTAATCACATTCATCATGGATGAGAAGCCTGATCTATTGGAGATTAGATCAGTCAACACTCATCTGTGTTGAATAAGTGATTTCTGCAGTGCATGGATCCTTTCACATGAGAGGATTCACAATCACATTGTTGCCAAAAGGATTTCATTTCCATGCTTCGGATGGTTTGATTTTAGCATTTATCTAACAAAAACTGATCTGAACATGTTGCTCCAAGTTATCATTATGCACGCTTTAATCTTTGTAATTTTTTAGGTCATAAGTGTTATGTTTTAAATGTGACTTAATTGAAATTTGCAGCTTCATCCTTCAGAATTTGGCTGTTTAAAAGGTCTTTTTTTTCCATGTTATGCTGATTTAATTTTTCAACTGTAAACACTGTTGAGGAGTGACCTAAGTTATATTTACTCAGAATTTTTGGAAATAAGGCTTTTTTTTTACACACAGTGAAAGTAGTAAATTTTTAAAAGCATCCTAAAGGGAATGTAATAATTTATACATCCGTCCAGTTGTGTTCAGATTTGCAGCTCAGAAAAGTTGTATTCCTTTTCAAGTCTCAAAGTCAAGAAATGTGTAAAACCGAGTGAACAAAAGTAAGAACAAATGACCAACACAACATCTCATGTTTCTGTGCAGACCCATATATTGTGAGTTGATTAAACATTCAGAGAGATTTTAATGACTGATAAATAGACAGCAGCAGACAAAAACTTTATGCTCACAAACACCTACTGTCATTTTATAGTCACTGGGGTCGTGCAAAAATAGAAAAAGAGAAGAAAACATTGAACGTTAGGGAAAACCTTTATGTTGAAACAACAACATTTTACAGACATATCAAATATTTTGAACTAATTCATGTTCAAGGCTACTCCATCTAATCAATAAATTTGATTTATTTATTCATTCACTTTTAAAGTGAATGAATAAAGCACGTTGTGGCTCTGTGGATTTTCTTCTATTCATTGAGAATAAAAGCACAATTATTTCCTACTGAGGTAAAAAAAAAATTTCAATGTGGCACCCTGTCTATTGGCAAAATAAGTAATGAAAACGATTGCTGCCATGGTGCATATTGTTTTCAGCTTCTTGAAGAGCATAACTCATTCAAAATTAGATTTCACTTTTGCTGAAACAGCTTCAGTTTGTGTATTTCATTTTTATTATCTCTACATGAATGTCAATGGGCAGCATTACATTAGTTTGTTTATTTATTCTAACGTTACGTTTGTTTATTTCTGTGTGATTCTCCCTCCGTGGCTGTGCACGTTGGATTTGTCTTTAAATTCAACTTCCTGAAAAAAAGACTTGAGGAAGTTGCATAGAAATGCTCAAGTCTCACTCCAGGAGCCACGCACTGAAGAAATCCAGCATAAATTACATTTTCCACATTCACTGACTTTGTATTCAATTTGAACAGACCTACCTCCTCCTGCCACAAGAGAACGCCCTCCAGGCTGCAAGACTGTGTTTGTCGGCGGCTTGCCAGAGAACGCCACAGAGCAGCTCATCATGGAGGTCTTTGGACAGTGTGGCGATATCACAGCGATTCGCAAAAGCAAGAAGAATTTCTGCCACATCCGATTTGCAGAGGAGTCCACAGTGGACAAGGCTCTGTTTTTGTCTGGTAAGCTCTCAGCTAAAAAGTGATCATAAATATTTTAAACTCTTGTGACTTTTGTTTGGAGTTGTGAAGGTTTGTCTGATTCATCTCAAATTAACATAAAAACGGACTTTTCTAAGATGTAATGAGTGAAATTAACAGTTACTTTGTAGAGACAAATACTTAGCCATGTATGTCATATTGCACAGATTAATATAGGTTCACTCTGGAATAAAAATGAAATCACATTTGAAATAACTTTCAACAAGTGAGAGAAAGCAGAGTTTCATGAGAAAAAATACAATTCTTTGTTTTTAAAAAAAGCATCCATTCCAACTATCTGGCTGCTGCACCTTGTATTTTTATCTCATCTTCATTTTCAGCCTGAACAGAGCAGAGATCCTCAATCTCTCTGTGCAAACTGATGACCACTCGCCCCGGCTTCAAAAAAAAGCCCACTCGGATGAGCCGCCCTCTCAGAAACATTCCCAGCATTATTGCGTGCGTCCACAAACACATGAGAGATAGTGAGTTTGAATGAGAGATCCCTTGATTTCAACAGCCTCTCTTCTTACAGTGAGGTGTGGGTGCAGAGGTCCATATATTAGAGCGATGACAGAGCTGTGTAGTTTCCCCATAAATAATCCCCCACCCACACACACTCAAGGAGAGCCTGTGCAAACAACAATACCCAGCAATGACACACACTCCGGCAGCTCCAGCACACCAGCATCTCCTCATATGAAATATTGAAGCAGGGATAGATTAAGAGTCTGAGGCAGAGAGAGCAGACTGGAGGAGAAACTCCAGGCTTTTTCGCTCTTTGCTTTTTCTGGTTTGTGTTGGTAAGCTGTGTCATAAAACACACTTGGATCATTTAAGCCAATTAGATCACAAAATGGAGCAAAGTTTCACTTCAGTCCACAACCGGTCATTAGTGAAAATTGAGAAAGGGGGATAAAGTAGATATAGGAGGAAAGTTAAGAGGAAAAGAGGGGTTAATGAGGAATACTGAGCCTGTAGAGAAGTAATTGGCCTCTGAGTTTCTCTTATGTATTGAACATTGATGATACAGTTTCAATTAATCTTTTCAAAAAGAACAATTAGGCATTAACAGCAAATGGCCGCTCAAACTCGGTCGGTTTCGATGTTTCTGCCTGGAAAGAGTAATTTCTCTTCACTGTCGCCACCTGCTTGCTCAGGAAAAAAGGTTATCAGCAACTTTTCAACTGAGCTGACTTGGATAAATAACTGCTTACCAATAGACATTATGAACTAAAGTTGACTAGACTGTATTTTAACTGGGTTCAAATAGCACTTAATGTTCAATTTCAATTGCTCTTGGGCTCATTTTTCTGCTTTTTGTCATATATTTCTTCATTATTGTGTACAAATTTGATCTGTTTTTTATCAATTAACCTTTATATATTTTTACTTTAATTAGGTTTTTACCTCATAAAGGTGTTAACATGATTTACTTTTGGTATAAAAGCATCAAAAGTTTGAAGATTTCCACAATGAATGCAAATAAAAACCCTTCCTGGGATTTATTTTAATCAGATGGTAAATTTTTCTCTATCAATCAAATCTATTAACAATACTTACAATTATTCTGAGTGCTTTTGTATGTTGTCTCTGATTTAGAGGTTTGCTTTTTGCTTTTTTTTAAAAAGTTTGTATTTTGCTCTGAGCTCAAAAAGTTAATTTTATGGACTTTCTAGTAATTGTGACTGAACTCCAGTCTGCATGTTGGGTTTTCGGGCATTTTATGGAGATGCACTTTCCAGCTAAGCTTTAAATATAAACCGTAGAAATGTTGGAATGTAGTGTGGAGAAATTTTAACTTATTGCTCCACACAGCTCAACCCTCACAGGTTCAGAACATGATAAATGCACTACCTCCCACCAGGTCTCTTTCCTTCAACCCTAGTAATCTGTTTCTACATTGATAGATGTGGTGGAAATGTAAGAGGTGTAAAGAATGGTCCTCTGCATTCCACTATCATCTCCTTCTCTTGTTTTTCTGGTTTTTAAATCAAACTCATATGTTTCCTAGGATATCGAATCCGTTTGGGCTCAAGCACAGACAAAAAGGACACTGGGCGGCTCCATGTTGACTTCGCTCAGGCCAGAGACGACCTGTACGAGTGGGAATGCCGCCAGCGCATGTTGGCCCGAGAGGAGCGTCACAGGCGCAAGTTGGAGGAGGACCGCCTGAGGCCGCCGTCCCCTCCTCCCATCGTCCACTATTCAGAGCACGAGTGCAGCCAGCTGGGAGACAAAATCAAAGGTACCTGGACATGGATGCTGGCAACTGCTGGGACCTCAGTGAAATATTAGAGAACAAACACTGGAAACTGAGAATCACAGGGGGGGGAAATGCTTAATGGTTTAACCTGACGAGACAACAGGGTTTCTACACAATCTGGAAAAGAATAGAATCTGGTTTAGATATTTAAGAAGTCTGGACGAGTATGGAAAAAGAAAAAGGAGAATTGGGAAATGTGTCTTATGTGAGACAATTTTTCCTATTCCTTTGTCTTTATGTTGTGTCCTGTTCTTCCTGTCTATCTTCTTTGTATTATTCCTTCTTTCCTCCTTTCCTACTCTGCCATTTCTTTCTTCTTCCCTTGTTTGTGTCCTTCCTTTTCCCTCGTATTCTCCCTTCTCTCCTTTTGTTCTTTCTTTCTTCATGTACTTCATTCTTTCTTTCCTTTCATTATTCTTTGCATCCGTATGCTCCTTATTTGTCTCCTTTCTTGTGCTCTTCCTTTCAACTTCATTTTATTTTTTCTTTCCGCCATTTCTTCTTTGTGACCTTCCTTTATTTTTTCCTTGCATTCATTCTTCATGGCCATCCATGTACGAACCTTCATCTATGGTCACAAGCTTTGGGTATTGACCAAAAGAACAAGATTACGGATATAAGCCGTTAACATAAGTTTCCTCTGCAGGGCGTTTGGGTTCTCCCTTCGAAACGAGGTGAGAAACTCGGACGGAAAATAATGGATGACTGTACAACATTCTTTGCAAAATGGATATCTCATGGGAGGAAACCTTGAGTCCAACAAAGCATTCCCGGCTCTAACAGTCTGTGAATTTGTCATAACAGATTCTGTTAAACGCCGTACGAGTGGATCCCAACAACATGCTCCTGGGTTATCTCGTCCGCCGCTCGTCATTTTTCAGTCTTCTCTCCTTAACTTTCCTTTCTGCCTCTTTACAGCTTTCTGTCTACTTTCCGCCTGAATAAACTTGTTTCTCTAATGAGCAGTGGCACTTCCAGGTCTCAGTCACAGTGGCCTGATAACTCGGCTGTGACTTTCCGCTTCTCTGCTATCTGCATGTGTCTTTTCCAGCTCTCCGCCGCCTGTCCTTAGCAGAAACAAGGAGTAAACTCAGACGCTGTGCTGTTTCAGCCAAGAATGTGTTTGTGATCTCTCCAGGCTGCTGTTGGGAGCAACACAGTCAATTGCTGTAGATTTTTCTTTTTTACCCAGAGGGGGAAAGAGATCTTGCTGTTTTTACTGCCAGTTTGTATTACTGTACTCCAAACTCAGTTACACTCTATGATGATAGACCACCTCTAGTAGAAATGGGTTTTATAGCCTATTTTGCCTGCAAGTTATAATTTTATTCCACGATGTTGTTTTGTTAGCAAAATATATAGCTGAAATTATCATTTTCTTTTTGTGGTACAACGGAGCTGTAATTTTAGGTTTTTTGCCATCTTTTTTGTATTCTTTCACTCAACTCATAATTTTGTCCAAAGAGCTTGAAAAGCAGCGTTTTATGCCTAATAACCATCATTTTTCCACAAAGGCAGGAGTCCGGTAAAGCCTTGTAGATTATGTCCAAAATGAACTTCTTACTTCCATTTCATCCCCCTTTTTTTTTCCTCCCAGACGACGGTAAGTTTCCAGAGGCCGTCCGCGTACTCCTGACCTGGCTGGAGCGGGGCGAAGTCAACCGCAGGAACGCCAACAACTTCTACTCCATGATCCAGTCCTCCAACAGCCACATCCGCCGGCTGATCGGCGAGAAGAGTCAACACGAGAAGGAGATGGAAGAGGCCAAGGACAAGTTCAAGTCGGCGCTGGCTGGCATCGTGGCTCAATGTGAGTCTTCATCGTCATTCTTACCACTTACTGCATCGCTTTGGCCCTTTAACTTTTTCACTGTTTGTCATGTTTCGATTTGAGGCTTCAGTGTGGTTTATGGGGATTTTATGTGATAGTACGCACAGTAATCCATAAATTTGAAGGGAAGGGGAAATTATTCATGGTTTTAATTATTTTTTCCTCACATACACAGCATTTGGAAATCTGCATTTGCATTTTTTTTCTTATTTATTTTTTTTTACCCCCCCCCAGCATGATTCATTGTGCAACCGCCTTTCACTATGAGGTTTGGGGTTAGTTAGGAGTATGACTCCGACCAGCTTTCCTTGTGTGGAAGCTGAAACACAACCCATTCATCATTGGAAAATACTTAAACTAAGTCCTTTTGGGTGGCGGGTATCTGCAAACATCAGCTCTTTTGATTCTTCCCAGTTATATTCCAGTTTGGCCTGTGACTACACCATTCTAATCCTTTCATATGCTAAACCAGCTCTGCAGCTCCTGCTGGAGGACATAGTCTCTCCCTAGTTTCAAGTCTTTTGCACTCTTCCTGACAACTCTAATCAGAGTCCATTTCTCTGCTGAAAAGTATAATACCACCATAATATTTCATCACAGAGATGACATGTTGATTGTCAGACCAGACTACCATCTACCTCCATGTTTTACTTTGAAAATCCTTTGGGTTTCTTTAATCAATTGTTTTTCTTGGCCAGATTTGTGTTTGAGTTGTTTGGACAGATTCTCCCACCTCAGCTGAGGATCAGATACGCCTCCACCCTGGTCGTCTCATAGGTTTCCTTACAGGATTTTCTTCTTTTTATCTTTAATTTTCTTCCCATCAACTCTGATTAGCTCCCAAGTTCCTGACAAAGAAAATTATCCCCACAAGAAGATATGTATTAATCAGAGATTAAATTAAACAAACAGTATTTATGCACTAAACAAGAAGCATCTAAAGTGAACTGATTGACTTTTGTTTATTTAGACCAAAGCAGCTTGAATACAAATACACCCCACACTTTTCACTTTTCTATTCATAAAAACATTTGGAAACTGGGGTTTTTCAGAGATATTATTGATTAACCATCATTTTTAGGGATGTAACTTAAGCATCTTGGGGTTCAAAGCCATCATCCTGCTGGAAGTCAGTTCATCAAGACAAAACTCTCATTTACTGGCCTCTTTCTTTTCTTCTTTAGCAATCTGAGGTTGGACCTCCAGTTTGACGTCAGTTATCCTCTGCTCTGTGTTGATCTATCACATAAAATCTAAATAAAACACACTGAGTTTTTTTTTGGCTGTGAAACGACAACATGTGAAGCCCAGAGAGTGAAAATACTGCGTGTGCAGTAGATATCCAGGTCAGATAAATGTTTTTTTTATTTTTTGCTTGCTCTGTGTCATTTTAAAATCCAAATCAGGACTTTTATGCCCAGAGTGCTGAAATCCACAGAAAAAGTAAGTATTACATTGTTCATAGCCTGACACTGAGGGTATATGTGCTAACATTTATAGTTACATTCATTGTATTCTTCCTTAAACGAGCTACCACAAACTTAATAGCTGATTAAAGAATGGTAAGTTAAATTCATGTCTCCCTCAGATGGTCCTGAATGTTTTTGATACCTTCGACTTTCAAATGCAAAAAAAATATTAGACGTCATTTTATTATTCATGTAAGACGCCAGGAGTCGATTGTTAAGGTTCCCTTCAGATGAAAGAAGTAAGTGGCCTCAAACATTTTTTTTCTGGAGTACAATGAAGACTAAACACAAACATTTACTACATGCTCAGTTCTTTTACACACTTATAGGGTTAAAAAATAAGCCATGCTTGTGCAGCTGCTAGTTTACTCCACAGCCTGCGGCGCTCAGTCTCCACTCATCCCTCCACATGTATGTTATATAAAATGTAAACATCCAGACAATCTTCTGTTGTTGTTGACGATGTTTCATGCATTATTAGTCAAAATAAGCCGTGAAGAGGCAGAGTGTGTTTTAACCATATTCGATTATTTCTACCAGTAGAAACGCATTCCCATTCACGATGTTGCCTTCCCTTCGGTGTGTTTCTGTTCTTTTTCATTATAAATCTGAGCCGGCCTGCTGGATCTAGTTTACAGGTTTGGAAAGGGTAAAGCTCTCTTCGTTTTGGTTCTGGTCTTCTTATGGGATACAATTTTTAAAAAGTAGTTGCAGAGCTGTAAAGAAATCATTCACTGTAATTTGAAGAACCAACAATTCAACTGACCTTGGCTGCAGGGTAATTGGAACCAGCTAGTCCACTTTGAGTAGTTTAAAAAATAAAATATATGAAGGTTTTGGAGTGGCCTAGCCAAAAGCAACGTTAAATTCTTGCTTAAAATATGAAAACACTTGATGGTTGTTGTTTTTGCTCACAGTGCCAGGAAGAGCTTTTTTTTCCTCAATAATAAAGTCTTGATTTAAACACAGTTTTTGTTTGACGATCCAGACTGTTTAAATGTAACAGTTAAAAGCAAAAACATTTTAAATCTGCAAGAGGGGATATTATTTTAAACAATATGAATAATATTTGCTATAACAAGTGAGAAAAAAATACACTTCTAATATTTTCTACGTTGAATTAAAAAGAATTTCTATTTTAGCACTTAAAAAATGCTGCCTCACCATATTTGTAGCTGCATAGGAGCTCACACTCCTGAAAGATTTTTTTTTTTTTGTGCTCAGTGTCTCTTTGCCTTCATCATCACTCTGTTCATCAAATTACAGGGTGCTGGGAAGATGCTATTGATTCCTGGGCTGTTCTGTCTCTCAGCACCCTGCAAACACACGTATTCATACAGAACCAGTTTTATTGATTCGTGTGTGTATATTTGAACCTCAGAAATGCACAGACCTCCCATCCAGTTCTCTGCCACCACTTTAAACAGAGCTATAAGCTGATAGGAGGAAGAGTCAATACTATGCTGCAAATCATCGCACAGGTAGGCTCTGCAGTGACCCTAGTTGATGTTTCTCTCTCATTCAGTTCTATCCCAAACAACTCTTCTAGCTGAGTCAAAGCTTAATTCTCTACACTATCTGTAGAGCTGCAGCTTGTCTGATGTGCTCTTACCCTTTTGTAAAAAAGAAAAGGGTCCTCTGCAGAGGGATATGTAATCAGGAAGACTGTAATGCGGCAGTAAGAAGGCGTCCTTGGGTAAGGTTCTTAAGAGACCTGTTCTGCAGAGGAGCTGCACTGTGGTCAATGCTGGCAGAAGAACAGTGGGTTATTTTTGGCCACCGGCAGTCTCTGAGCAAATCTAATAACAAACTCACAGTGAAAAGGTTCAGGCGTATCCTCATAGCTTATGCTATGAAGGATCTAAAGGCAGTTTGCCAGAATTTGATACACTCTTATATGGACTCGGTGTCCTGTAATAAAACAACTGGCAGCAGTTTTTGTAAGCTTTGTTCTTATGTGTACCTGTCATGCTGGCATGTTTGCAGTAATTAATTCATTTAATATTGCATACCTTTTTTTGTTTGTCAGGAAGTTCCTATTTAGCAGTTTCACAGTTATTTTTCCCACAAAATAAAACATTCTGGCCGTGGTGACCCTATATTCCTCAGGAAACAGTACTTGGCACTGATCCCATTCCACACTGTGTAGATCATAAGACCATCTGTCTGTGAGACTCATCGTTTTGGCATCACCTGTGGGTTTTTGCTTTTTTTTAATGTATAATTGCTGAAACATTTCAGTTTTACAGTTGAGAAGCAAATGTAGCGCAAACATAATAAAAGTTAACAGTTGGGATGTGAAATACTGTGCAGAAATTTCAAACTACCACCTAATTTCTTTATTTTTTGCTTCTGGAGAGCCCATCTAGTATTATTATTATCTTTTAAATTGTAAATAGTTGTCCAGATTTTTCCGATTACATTTTATTACATTTAAAATGGAGAATAATCATAAAACTGATTTAATTTCAGTGCATTATGTTGTAAAGATTTTTATTACACCACTTTTCCATTTAGTCTGGTTCTGGCCCACATTCAAAGTCTAACATTGGCTTCTCAGTGACATCCCTTCAGTGCATTTTTACTCCGACTTTATAACTATTGAGATTCATTGGATTCACATTTTTACACAGTTATTTTAGCAGCAGTCTTTTCAAGCAGACCTCTGTACTTTGACTGGTGTCATATGAGAGAGGAAAAGGAAAATAATCAATTCAGTTTGTTTATTTAGTGCCAATTCACAAATTCACATGCGTGTTAAAGTCCCCTTGCAAACCAAACTGATGCAATTTATCTCCAGAAATATTGAGTCATTTCAGTTCTACTTACAAAACAATGCAATGAAGTTTAGTGTATTACGTTGTCTTTCAGGAAGTGATTCTTTGCAACAGACCTTTCTCTCATAATCTCAGTTTATGTTGTGTATTGCTAACACTGTTGCTGATTTTGCCTGACTGACTTCAGTCAAAAAGCACATTTCCTTTAGAATTGGTAACCAAAACCAACGCAGAAGTCAAACTTTATTCAACTTTTATGAAACTGCCAAGTAAATTATCTCTTGAGACTTTATCTGGAAAAAAAATCATTTGGGGAAGCTAAGTGCGGCGATGTTTTCAAAGTCTGCAAAAACACTATATATATTGTCAAAAAGCAGTCCTAAGACATGAATGGTTGGTATGAAATGACGCATGGTCTACTAGAAACATCAGGCAGCATCTTTTTCTATCCAAAGTATTTGTGTAAAAATAGAAAACACACATTTATAAAACATCCCTTCAGTTTAGCAGCCTTTTTTATGTCCAAATGATTTATAAGTCATGCTCTAACAAAGCAAATGTGAAAAAAATCCTCTGAAAATGGTCAGATAGTTGACTAAAAATGAGCTAAAAGGCAGCTGAAAACCAAAGACTAAGAAAATCTGAAACAATTTCACATTAATTTGTGTGATTACTCAAATTTGTCAAATGTGACTTGGAACAGGCCTTCATAAGGCGATGCTATGGCATCAGTCGGTATGTATAACACACACAAACATGCTCACACAGAGTACTGATGCCTAGTTGACTCCACTTTCTCACTCCTCTGCTCCCTCCCAACTGCCCTCTGTCTTTCTCTGTCTCTGTCTCTGGGTGGTCTCTGCTCCTTCCCTGCATCCCGCCACAGTTGAACAGATTGTGTCTGTATTCCAAGCTGCTTCCAAACAAAAGGCATGGGACCATTTCTCCAAAGCTCAGCGCAAGAACTTGGACATGTGGCGCAAACAAGTCGAGGTTGGTACACTTTGGTTTCATTCTGTTGTGCGTGTAAAACGTGTAAAAGTAGACGTTCTGCTTTTCTGTTTCATGCTTCATTGACAACTTTATTATGTTTTAACTAGTCCCACGTTATGGCATGGAAAAGGAAATCTTTATTAACATGTTTTAAGAAGAAATACAGAAAAACTGTGATATAGTAAGTACTTTTAACCAAGTAAGGCAGCAGAACAGGTGTCTGCTCACTGCAGAGGTCCAGACATCTCCCCCCATCCTCTTCCTCTCTTCTCACCTCTCTCCACCTCCACTCTGAAGGAATACAAGCTGCTGGGTGAGTTTGTTTCTATCTCTGATAGCATCCTGCACGCAGGTAAATATATAGAAGCTCTTTTCCCTGTACCAGAGGATGCCAGGATTACAGGAAAATGTCAGGAAAAGCATCTTGAGAACTGAAAGTGTGTTGAATTTTCTTATTCAAGCAGCATTTTCTTTGTAATTTGCTGTGTGCTTGCCATATTCTTACTCTCCCAAATAGAACATTAATTGGCATGATGAGGGTTTGTATGTAATGGAGGGTCTGGAGTGTGTTGCAGCCCGGGGTCTAATGGACCATTTATGATCATATTTCAATTGGTAAGTTTCTTTGAACTTCAGCACAACAAACAGATTCAAGCTGTAATTTAGGGGCACATTAAGTCGTGCACGCAGAATAATAACAGAATCTGACATGGCAGAAGCAGCAATCATCCTGCACTAAAACCTCTCTTTATAAGGTAGGTGATGAAAAGCAGAACCGTTGATGTAATTCTCAGAAGTATCAAAACAGTCGACCTGAAATTTTATCTTCCATCTGTTGCTGAATGGTAGAAGCTTGTGTGAAAGTCGGTTTGCACACATGGTGGGAGGATGAGTGATGAATGTTGAGTATGTCTTCTATACTCTTTATGTTCAATTTTAGATCAACACAAAGTAGCTTATGTTTGCTTTGTAGAATGAAAATACATGTTATTTTCTTCAATTTATTACAAATGACATTTTTAGTTGATCGTTTGGACCATTCTTCTTTGAGCTAAACCTCAGACAAATTGTATGCAAAATGACAATGACTAGGTCTGGACTTTGACTGGGCCATTATAACATAAATAGCAGCTTTAGATGTACGTTTAGGGCCATTTTCCTTCTGTATGGCAAACATCTACAACAGTCTCAAGTCTTTTGTCGCTTTTAATAGGTTTTCTTTCAGGATTATATTATAAAATGTTGCCACTTTTACTGTACTATTCTGAAAAAATAAAGAATACGTTTTTGTATATGTAATTGTGGCCTGTCTGAAGACTGACAATCTTTAGGAAAATGGCAATAACTTGCTTTGAAAGAGACTGAATTAAAAACAGACAAGCAGTAGCAATATAAACACTACACTAAGGGAATGTGTTACCAACTGCATTTGGAAAGAAATATGAGTAAGCCACTAAATCTAAAATGTACACCACACTTTCAATATGTTTATCTATAGAATAAAAAACTAATTAAAAAAAGCAGGATTTTTGTGTTCTATCACATCAAATCTCTGTAAAGTACAAAGAAGTTTTCAGTCATAACATAAAAAAGTGTGAATACTTTTGCCAGGTTCTGTGTGCTGATATTTATTTGCCCTCCTGCTGTATTTTGGTTTGCACCATCTTATTACAAGCCTTCTATATCTAGGTCTCACCAGAGCTCGAATTTCCTCAGCAGCTACTTTACTTCTGCTCTCTGTCATTTATTTCTGAGCACTCAGCCTCCTCACAACTGAAAGCCAGTGGTTAAATATGAGGAAGTAATACAGGAAGAGCTGCAAGATGCAACCATACATTCGTGTGAAGGTCAGAAAACCGTAGCAATTGGTTTAAGGTGTGAAAAAGCTACACGTGGCCTCACATGCGTGTTAAATCACAACAAATTACTCCTTAACTTGCAAAATATGGCCTGATGCAACCCTGTGTCCACAGTAAATCAGACTTGGAGGCTCCAATACTGGAAGCCTTTGGTCAGAGCGAAGGCATGCCACGACAGGAAGTGTGTTACTTCATTCAGATTCTGTGGCAGGGAGGAAGAAAAGGCAGCAGAGTTAAATCGATTCAGCTCTGCTCCTCAGTCAGACAACAGCTGCGGCCTCCTGTCAGCGGGCTTCATGCCCACCAGTAGGTTGTTTTCGTCATGTGCTGGTGTGTGTGGAGTTACCTGTGTGACTTCTTCCAGGAGCTTTGGTTGGTGACGTCAGCTGACAGATGGTTGAGATGCTCTCTGCTACCTTTAGCAAAAACTATGATAGTTTTGTTTCAATTTCATTTCTCACAGATTTAACTTGAGGCTTTTCAACATCTGATTTTTTGTTCTTTTTCTTTTTGGGAATTATAGCAGAGCGCTGCATAAAAATCTGCAATGGCAGGACAGTTTGCGTAAACACAACTGTTTAAAAATAATCTTTTTTTGAGTCATTTTGTGGAAAAACTAGTTAATTTCTAGGATGAAAACAAGTCAGTTTTCACCATTTTAAAGAGCTTTCAGAAGTAGCTACTGGTTACTTGCACAATTTTCACTGCTGATGAATCGCAGAGGATTTTTTTTATCACCATCATCTAAAATAACTTTATTTGATCAGCTTGTTCTTGTTACATTTCAACAAAAATGCTTTGTTAAATCTTTGTAGCTTTAGTTTTGATGGCTGCTCTGAATAAATTACTTTGTCTCTTGACTTGTTCTTTTTTTCACAGCAGTGTGGTTTCAATCAGTTTAAGTAGGAGACTCTCTTATCCGTATCAAACTTTTGCGATTTCTGTCACAATGCAGTCACAGGCTTTAATGTATTTTATTCAGATTGTATTTAATTGATCAACACAAAATGGTGCATAATAGTGCTGGAGGAATAGGAATATGTGTTATTGTTATTGTTATTTACTAATTAAAATCTATAAAGTGTTCCATATTAATCCACTTTTATTGTTCAATATGCCCAAAATAAAATCCAGCTGCCCTCAGAAGATTTCTATTTACTTAATTAAGTGAATCTATGCACAATTTCATCTCAGTACAAATCCAGATGTTTTGCGAAGGCCTCAGATGTTTGTTAGAGAACATTAGTGAACAGACGTCATAATGAGCCAAGTAACACAGCAGACTGGTTGTAGAGATGTTTAAAACTGAGTTTTAGCTTTTGAAGCCTAAACTTTGAACATCTCGCAGAGCTCTGTTCAATCCACCATCTGAAAGGTTTTCACAGCAAACTTCCTTATTTAATAGGGCAGGCATTAAAATTGGGCAGCTCTAACTCTGCAGAAACTTCAGAGATCTACAGATTGTCTTTATGCAAAAGTGGCAAGAAGAAGCTCTAAGAGGTTATGTTTAAAGTTTGCCACAAACCAAGCAGGGGACACAACACACTTATCAAAGAATGTGCTCTAAACATATGCAAAAACTTGTTTGACAGAAAAATAAACACTTTGCATCACCCTGAAGGCGTCATCACTGTTGTGTATTGTGGTGGTGGCAGCAGGATGCTTTGGAGATGCTTTGAGCAAAGTTATGCTGAGGGAAACCCAGTTTGATGCTTTAAAAGACTTAAAACTAAAGACCGATCACCTAAATCCAAACTCTATTTATGCAAAAGACAAAATTTGTCTCAATGAAATATTTTTACAGCCGGTTAAATAGAAATGCATGCCACACATTTTGATCTTAAATGTAAAAATGTTTTAAATCCATGTATCATTTTCCGCCCCCTTCCCGAAAACGTATTCCTAAAAGAGTATATTGAACTTTCAGGCTCCAGCTGGTCATAAAGTTTAAACCTATATTGTCTCATTTGCAGTCTGAGCTGTAAAAAGAGAAGGAGCTCCTTAGTTTTGAAGCGTTTCATCTCCATTCAACTTCATCCTCCTTCATCCTACTCTGATGCGTTAAAGTGTTCCTCATAACTTATGCTTCACATTAACTATAGAAGAGGACTCTTTCCTGATGATTGCACCCGGTCAAGTTCAGCACCTCCTTAAAAATCCTCATGAGTCTTGGCAGTTCTCACCCACCGCTCCTTTCGCTGTGTTTCACAGGAGATCAGAAACATGCACAACGAGCAGCTGATGGGCATCAGGCGAGAAGAGGAGATGGAAATGTCTGATGATGATATGGAGGACGTCCCTGACAGCAAAGACTCTGAGGACTCAGGTATGCATATGCATGCGCGTTTCTGCAGCTCAGCACTGTTGTCATCTTGACAGGAAAGCTACCGATCGAGATCTCCTGAGGATGAACGCATTGATTGTTAAATAACTGAGGGAGACGGTTGTGTTTGACTGGAATGACAGTGATCATCCTCTAAACATCTGACAGCCTTCCTACAGCTCCACACGAATGAAGAAACAGGTGCAAAGTACATCACGCCTCACTCCAGCAGAAATATACACAGCGATATTTCAGATTATAAGGGAGATAATAATCCAGGTTTTTTCAACCTCAGAGGAGTCTATTTGTGTGTGCTGAAGCAACTAAAGCTAATGGTGTTGCTTATCTCTCAAGCCCCATAACAATAACCTGACAGTAGTCACCAGGGCAGCATGGAGAAACCACTCACCGCCACGTGTAAACTCAGTCAGCTGTTCCTTCTGTTCTCCTTCATATACTCTTCATCCCTGTTCATCATTCGGATCTCTGCCATTTGCCAATATGACAGCATCTCTAATTACCATGCAAATAAATGTAAACGCTGCAGTCGGCTCATTTGCAACCTTTCTATTTAGCTATCAGCGATTAGTGCTGCTGTCAAAGTCTTGTCATTTCGCTCGATTCCTCAGGATCGGTGGAGGTGACTGGTGTTAATGTGACACGTTCCGATATTTGTGTTAACAGGTTGAAGTGTTAAGCCCCTTTTTTCCTCTCTAACCTTTAAAAATGAATGTTTACACGTCAACAAGCCCTGCTGGAAACACCGGTGTTATGACTGCAGCCTCTTCAAAGCGAATCGAAGCTTTGCGTCTGAGCCATGTGCGGAATAGAAAGACGGACCGCCGGTTATTGTTGGCGGATGTGCGCCCGGAGGCGTGTGCATGCATTCTTGCGGGTCGATAGCACTGCTGGTTATGTAACCGAATCTGGCCACGCGGTTGACATCTCCTCTCGCCAAGCTGATGAGGCTCTCAGATCAATACCCTTTTCACCTCAAACCTTCATTTTGCTGGAAGAGAAGCACACACAAGCTCCATCTCAACACACACACTCGCCCAGCAAGAGTTCATTAACACCGCCAATGGTCCTTGATGATAGACTGCTGGCAGCTCTCATGAACACCGGCACAAACCCTAATAAGATACCCTTTTATATACACACACAGCGATAGAATGAGGATTATCTCCTGTTCAGACCGTGAATTAGCTTTTTTTCTCTTTTTTTAAAGCTTCTTTTTTAAAGAAGGAGAGCGAGCTGATAGTGCTGGACGTCTCTGGTGCCGGGCAGGTCTCATAATAATGATGCCTCCCTCTGTCTGCCTCGTCTGCTCTACAGGTCAGGTCAAATATCCAACAGAGAGTTATTGGACAGAACATTCTGGGATTATTGCACTTTCCAGTCATTGTCAACACGCTCCTGGTGTTTGATTTATCAGATACGGCGTGAATCCAGACTCCACTAAAGACTTCTAATGAGGGAACTTGTACTGGGAGATTAGGAACACAGATATTTTGCATGCAAATGTCACTTTTTGAGATAACAAGGTTTATTTTCTTCAAAGAACAATCCAGTCTGCAACTGCAGACCAAGAGTGCTTCTGCTTTGCAGCTTTAGGACGCCTCCCTGCTATAACACACCTGAATAAAATCAATAATTAATTAATCAATTGATCTATTTTTCTTATTATATTGGGAACTATGCCTTTTTCAAATAGTCTTCCACAGATGTCAGTCCTGTAAAAGTTTTAATTTATTTAAAATCTAAATATAAGTATAAAATTGTGTTGTTTTCTTTAAATGGCAGCAAATTTTCTATTATAAATTACGCAAATGAAAGATGTCTTTTTCAGTTCTTCATTTTATTTAGCTGGACTGAGGGCAAAAGGAGACTTTGGAACGTTGAGATTGTGGACATTAATAAATTAAATGCATTTTGACATATGTGAAGCACATTTCTTATCTATTGTGCTTGTTTGCTTAATCAGACGTTTGAGTGGCATTAGAAGTTTAAATGAATTTCAACTTTATGAAAACCTTTAACAGCTTTTATTGAAAGTGAACAGCTGCTGCATGTGAGCTTCTATATTTTATATACAGAAAAAGGTCATCAGTATTTTCCTGCCAATGAAGAATCCATATGTCTACTGTCCAGTGTTTCTCACATTAAAATGCATCTCATGTAAGCATGAGGAATAGAAAGTCAAGTTTCATTGCTTTGACAGAAATTTGAGCTTTTGAGCTTTGAGTCAGTACTTGTTAAAGGATAAATTAATGCTAAGCTGCTGTTTAGAACTCAAGAATCGTTTGTTTTCACCCAATAATCCTCTCATGATCATGATTTCTTGAGTGCGCCAATATTCCGACTGAACAAGAGCCCAAATTCTCAGGATAATGGAAATAGACCAACTCTGGTGTGTTGACGTGAAAATCATGCAAGGTAGCAAATGAAAGAAATCACGTATACAACATTAATTGCAGATATAGCTGTCCTTGGCTTGTGTACAAACTTCATCAGGATTTTATTTGACAGATGTTTTGTCTCAGAGAAATAAGTCACTTACCTGAAAACTGAAACAAGCATGTGAGTTTATTTTTGTCTTAATTGATCCATGGATAAAGAATTCATGTTCTTTTTTTTTTTTTACGTATTTTATGATACAAAATACCAGTTGTGGTGTGAGGCAGAGTTTATATGTTGAATCTTTCATTTGCATGTTTTGTTCATGTGCTGTTGAAACTGGAGGAATACATACACTGGATAAAAAAATAATAATTCTCACCATCTGAAGTTAAATTTCCTGCTTTAGGTAAGTTAGAATTATCTAAATTATTTATATTTGATGAATATCACAATAACAAGAGCACGAAAAAATCCGTGGCATATTTATACACCTTTACCTTAATACTTTACCTCAGTATTTTGTAGCAACGCCTTTAAACTTTATGATGTGGGTCAAATCTTCTGGGTTTACTTTTACAGGCTTCTCAGTAGTTTGCTTGTGTTTAAAAGTGCACCAGTTCTTCCTGCAGCACAACACACTCACAAAATGATGCTGCCACCCCCATACTTCACATTTAGGATGGTACAAGCATCTCAGCTCTTCCTCCAAATGTAACAATGGTCAATATGATCAAACACTTCCACTTCGGTTTCATTAAACCACACTCCAAAAAAGAAGCTCTTTGTCTTCAATGTTTTACTGGACTAATGGATTACTCATTTAGCCCATGCCACTATGTGTCTTCTTTATTCAGTATATAGAAAATTCTGGTTTCAACTGTATGTTTTAGTTCAGTTAACGACAGGAACATTTAACATTTGAAAACATGACTTTTGACACAATGAAAGTCATGATCTTGGTTTAAAATGTCAAATGTTTGATCTAGATTCAGATAAAATTGTTTTTTTCCCGCCATAAGGTTCACATGCTAGAATGTTTGTTGCAAGTTCTTTTTTTTTGACATGCTTATTTGTCAGTCTTTTGTCATTTTAATTCAGTTGGGAAAATGTCCGTCTGATCCCAATGAAAGGTGCGTTGTAGCAGTAACTTACACTGTGTCGTCTTTAGGGACGACACAAAAGAATTAAGTGGAAAAACGCTGTTAGAAGTTTTCTGGTTCCTCAGTGAAACCGGTTTTATAAATAAACACAAGATCTTTTTCTGACTCTGTCTGCACTTTGGGAATAAGCTGAGAGGCTTTTATTAGCAAGCATCTATCAAATAGATTTGCTGTTATTCTGTCTTTCAGGACATACTGTCATAAAATATTGTCTCACCTTCTATACCTGCAAACACCCAAGAGAATAAAGGAATTTACTGTGAATGTTACTATCCAAGTTTCAGGTTTTTAGTTTTTATTTATAGTGCAAAGTCTAAAAACCATTAAAAGTTGTTTATCTACACTGTAACCAAATTGATTAGTCCCATAACACTCAGCACGTTTGGAAAATATGTGTTGTGTGTCTTTCTGTCTCTAGGTGTTTCCCAAGTAGAAGCCTTAAAGGAGGAGAACGACTCGCTACGCTGCCAGCTGGACGCCTACAGGAACGAAGTGGAGCTGCTCAAACAGGAGCAGGGAAAGAACCAGCCAGTCCGCAGCGAGGAGGACAGCACTCATTCACAGCAGCTCAGCTTCCTGCAGCAGGCTCTGCAAGGCATGCAAAAGGTAATCCTTCATAAACTAACCATCCTGGTGTCCAACAATGATTTAAACCCACTTTTAAATTACCACTTTATGACCAAGGACTTTGTTGTTGCTTGTTTTTTTTTTCTGATTGAAGACAATTTGATGAGTGTTAGGTGGGTGCTGCTATTTTAAAAGGCTTACATAGACATCCATAGTGAAAACCTTGCAAATATTCAGTGTCAATCGGTCAATTTTTGATTCTTTTCCTTTTTTAAAAATGTTTTGAATCTCGTCTTTTAAGCGCTGTACCACATTCTAATGAAGAGCTTCTTCATTCTTTCATTTTTCAAATTACAGCCCCATTTAAGCCGTTATTATAACCTTTGAAAAATCCATTAAATACAAAAGGATTCAATGCTGAAGGTTTTTCCTGCTGTCTTCCCTAATGTTTAGAAATCGAACAACCTGTAAGAAAAAAGCACATCACTAGATTAGACAGGCAGGGGAAACGGGAAGCAAAATAATTACAGGAGGCATTCAGCAGATCCATAGATGGAGTGAAAATGTAAACGAGATGAATTTGATGTGTGCAGATTACCGGAAAATCGATGCCTTGCAAAAATATTCATTCCTCACATTTCTGTATATTTTATGAGAATATAATTTGAAAGACCCACAGAGGATTGCATAACTTTGAAGTCTTTGTAATAGGATTTTAATTCCTACAAATACAATTTTGAAATGACTGTATTGTTTTTCATCCACCTACCTAATTCCGAATTGATACATTTGACATATCCCTCTCTGTATTCTCATTAAGACATTTTATTAACTTTTGCAAAATATCTCATACCAATATAATGAAACTGCCACCATGTTCACTGTTAGAATGATGGATTACTAATTTAACGAACCATAAAAACAAGTTCTCCAACCTGAGTTGTGGATCTCTGTACTCCTCCGGAGTTATTATTCACAAAAAAAGTTGTTTATCAATAATCAAGGCCTGAAATCTGGGTGTAAACCAAACCCAAACCTGAACCTTGACAGTTACAAAGTCGGCCTTCTACCACCTAGAGAGCTTTTCTAGGAGTAAAGACTCATATCTCAGTAAGATCTAGAGAAATTCCCTCGTGTTTATCTTTAGTTGCATTGATTACTGCTACAAGATCTTGACATTGCTGCCAAGAAAGTCAACCAGACACAATGCTGCTGCGCACATTCTGACTAAAACCATGAAGTTGAAGATCATCACACCAGTTTTAACGTCCCTACCTGGGCTTCCTGTAGATCAGGGAGCAGACTTTAAAATACTGTTGTTAGTTTATAAATCACTGAATGGCTTAGCACCACAATACATTAAAGATCTGCTGTTGTTGTATCAACTTTCCACTTTTCTCAGGTCTTCTAGTTCTTATTCTGCATCCCCAGAACCAGCGCCAAACATGGAGAAGCAGCATTTAGTTTATATGTGGAACATTTATTCATTTTAGTCTGTATGCCAACCTTTCTTTTATTTTTCCACTGCAATGTTTCTTGCTTGTTTTATTTTTTTCATCATGTAAGGCTCTTTGAATTGCCCCTTTGCTGCCATGAGCGCTACCAATAAATTTAGATTGCATTGCTTTTTAAATTCCACTTTTTTATTAGATTTTTAAAACCATTGGATTATTTGTTTGTGTAGGTCTACATAAAATGTTGGGGTTTTTTTTATGTAGACCTACAGTGGAGCAGCTGTCAGCAACATTGCCTTGCAACAAGAAAGTCCTGAGCTGATTCCCATTCATGACTTTACATGTTCTCTCTGTTTATGCAGCTTCTCACTGATAACAACTAATAACAATAGGGAATATTTTATCTAACATTTTGGAAAAACTGCAGATATTTCTCATTCATTTGCTTTTTCAAATTTATTCTTTAAAACAACATATACCGTCTTGTCACCATTTCATAGATGCTCTAAAAAGTTCAGAAGTAATTTTATAATTTGAACTTTGGCATCTGAAAAGAAACTGAAAGCCTCTCCAGTTCACATAATGAAGCCACCAGTTCTACTTCTGTATCTTATAGAATAATAAGCATTACTTTTCCTACAGAACAGGTTTCTGTTACATTTAGATTTGATAAAAGTAAAGTGGCACTAAATCGACTGTAGTGTTTATCAGATGTCCTCTCTCAGCTGTCTTTCTTTAGTAATGGAACTTATGATCGACTGGCGTTTAGAAGAAGAGAATCCATTAAGGCAGCACAGTTCCTTTCTGCTTCCAGAGTAATTACCTTTCCAACATGCATCTCTCTCTCTCTCTCTCTCCTTGTGTATTTATGAAGAAAAGGAGGCGAGCGGATTAAATGAGCTCGAATGCACTGAAATTGGATACCTCGACCTGGCCGGGTCCACCAGGTGTTTCGCCGCAGTCTCCTGGATTTGCAATAAAACTTTATCAGCACCTATTGACAGCTTGTTACCCTCTCTCATCAGCCGTGGTGTATCTGGCAGTATAAGCACTCGGTTTCTGATTGTACAAACAGTATTATCACCACAGGAGACTGATCGTTTCATCTGTGCTCAACAGATAACTTTGGAGGCTGTTGTCTCTTAAAACTTTCTTAAATCCCGTTCTCATATTTCATCCTAAAGCACGTCCTAATTTTCTTAATCTTTGTCCAAAATAAATGTGAAGGTTTTGAAGATTTGGCAATATTTTAGATATGCAATGTCCTTCACATGTAATTTAGACAAATTGGCCTTTATTTCAAAGGCATCTGTTTAGAGAAAAAAAGTCCCAAGTTAGGAATTTTTGAATTCATTTTTTAAGAAGTCACGTAATTATTATTACCCATATCAATCTCTTCAAAATAAATTTAGCTTGAAGATTTTTTATTTGGACTTTCACTTTTTTAATTGAGCAGTGTGTCCTGGAACTTTTAATTAGCAGTCCAGACTCTTTATTTTCTCCTGGAAAAAATATGTCATCCAGGGCTCCTACTCAAATTAGTGGAAAGCAAAAAAGTTTTCTTTAATTATTTTTCATGTCTGGAAAGGTTTAGAAAAATGTCTCAATTTTAAGCCTCTTTTTTTCCTCTTCCATTTTCTGAACTACAAAACTCTGAGAATGCAGAACTGATTGTAGTCCAAATTGACAGGTTTTATCTTTCATTTGCAACAACACGCCTTGATTCGAGTGCTTTATTAATCATCACTATTTTGTTTTGAACTTGCTGACTGCATGTGGATTTATTTAAAAATGAAGTTTGAGTAAATTTACTACCGTTTGGTTTCTAGACCTGTAGTTTTTAACCTGAATCTAGCACTAAAACTGTTATTCTTTGGATGTACTACAAAGCAAATTTGGATATTTCTGTTCAAAATTTTGCTTTTTTTTAATTTGACCAGTGTAAGACTAATAGATCTAGAAATTTGACTTATCTTGTTTAGTCAAAATACAACAAAACCAGTAGAAGAAAAAACAAAAAGATAAAAAGCAGAAGTGAACGCAATTTTAATTAAGGAGATGGAAATAAAAAAATGCTGAGTATATTGGAAAAACGAAAAGAATTTAAAAATGTAAAATAATGAAGGGAAATGTGATCCTGGAAAAATATTCTGAAATGACAACTGTGTAGGAAACCTGAATATAATGTATATAATTTAAATAATTTCAAACTAATGGTCATTTCATTGTCCCAATACAAAGTGAGGTGAATGGTAATGGAGGTGGAATGAAACCTCTAATGTTCCCAGTTAGAAACCAGACAACCATTAAACATGTCATCTGGTTGTTATGAAGTGAAACTTTTTCTTTCCGACTGTCACAAACATTTATGGTGAATTTGATTAAGATTGTGACATTAACAAAAACTCAGTGGGTTTGGAAATAATGAAACAAAATACGTGCAAAATACGTGCTTCCTTCCTGTGAGTTCTGTAGGGTTGAACAATAGTTTATTTAGGAATCAAGAGCCAACAAATCCAACATTAAATCCAGACCTGAAAGGCACAAAAGAGTCATTTCAAATATCTCCAGAACCAGAAACAAATTAAGGTCTCACATTACCTCGAGGAGCAGAGAGGTCATTCATTATTTAATTTATTGCATTTTAAGATTGATGTAATACATTTTTACCCATGCAAAGTTTCCCTGATAAACAATAATATGTAAAATGTGATGATTTAATTTTTTCATTCCACATCCTGGTGTTTTTACGGCTGGTCAGTTCTCAGCAACATTAGTGTCTTAATGTCTGTTTTCACAGCAACTGTTAAAAATGAGGGACGAACTGAAGCAGCGGGAGGCGGAGCTGGAAAAGAGTCTGGAGGACAAACAGCAGCTGAAGTTTGAAGTCCAGAATCTGAAGGAAGGCCTCCAGAAGTTGCAGAGCACACACACAATGCAGGTCAGTGTGACAGATGACATCCCTCACTCTGCTGGCTTTCACCTGAGCCGACATGGAGCGTTTACTTAGCGGGCTTCACAGCAGGACTCGTCTGTGGGTTGCTACTGTCTTTGTTCTTTGCAGTCTGCGATTTCATGAGAGAGAGGTTAGCTGAGGACATCCAGGATTATGCAAATCCTGATAGAAAGTAAAGGAATAAATCACTAGTGAATCAAAGTGATGATACTTACTTTAACCATTTTTCTAAGCTTCTAAGAAATCTGCAAATACATTCTGTGCATATTTCTGTCTCTGAAACTGAAGGAAAGCGCTGACAACAGTGTCATTGATTATCAGGCTTCATTGAGTGTTCATTTTTACCTTAATTCATACTTGTATCTTTTTTTCATGTAAATTGCATTCAGCTCAAATTTATTATTCAATCTTTCTAAATTAAAGTGTCTCATTCTTTATAAGACGCCTCAGTTTAACTGTTCTTACTTCATACCGATAAAAAGCCCAATTAACACACACTAAACACGAACCTGTTCTGTGATTGCCTACTTTCACATATTTGCATATAATATTTTTCTCTTTATGTTAACATATTAATCAGTCTTTAAATAGCCAAAACAGTGGGTTTTGGATTACAAATTAATTGTTGAATTGCTAGAATCCTATTCTAGTCACTCTAGAAGAGGATCTATCTGATGATCTGTCATGTGGTGAAGCTTTATCACTTTGGGTACAAACACAGAGATTTGTTTTTAAGCATCCAAAACTGAGGAAAAAAAAATCCCATACTTCTTTTTAATTTGCTTCTGAGAAGCCAGACTTTTTTAAAATCTTTAAAATTCATTTGATCCAATGCACGAAAGGAACCAATTATTAAAAACAATTTATCTGAGTGGAAATGTTACATAAAATGCTGTTACTTGCAGTTGTAGAGGTATTCAGAGGCAAAAGGTGCAAACACTCACCTCAAAACCCCCTTTTTTATAATTTCAACTGATAATTTACATAATTTGTGTTACAGTATATAATTTAAAGTAATCAAAGCAATAATTAATGTTTTGCATGTCCAATTTTGTGCTTGTAAATAAGTCGCTGCTGCCTCTGAGACTGCGTGTGTGGTTCATGGTCCTCTGGGATGCACCATGCAGAGTTTTATCTCGTAAGATCTGTTCAAATTATAAACTTCCACTGACTTTGAAGTCGTTTGGACTCTACCAGAGGATTTTACAAAATAGAAGTGGTTGAAACCTGCACAGAAAAATACTGCTATGTGTGTATCTGTACTGATGACATCACAAGAGTAGTGAATTTGATTGAAACTAGGGTTGGCACATTAACAACACAATTTCAATTAGTTAATTACATAGATTTTAATGCATTGAAGATTTGAACACAATTAATATTTGGAATTGATATAATTCATACATTCGGAACTTTTTTATTCCAAATTATTTTATGTGTTTCTGGTAGGCCTGTAAAACTGACACAGAAGAATCCTTCATAATTGACAGAAATCGACAGAAAAGCCGATTCTCTTGGTCCACTGGGGGATAATTTTTGCTTCAAAAACCAAACACGATGTGTCCAAGTTGTGCTATAAGTTGTACTAAAAGGAATTCATCTGTCAGCAAAGCTATTCAAGCCTAAAGTAATATTTCAGCTTGAAGCATGTTGCAGCAATTTAAAGGGATTTTGATTTGTAAATGTTCCTTAGTTTGTCAATATATAGTTTTAAATTAAAATGGGATTAATGGCAATCAATGAATTAATTACAGAACCTGCAAATAACTCCCAACACTAGTTAAAACATGCAAAAAATACAAATAGGCCCACTCAAAAAAACATGATTACATTATGCCTCATGTGATGTCATCAAGCATCTGTGTGTTTTGCAAAAGCTTTTTATTGGAGGGTAGATCATATTGTACGGAGATAACATGACAACAAAATAATAAAACAAAACATGACCTGACCACGGTGTCAAACTATCCAAAGTGAACTTCACTTGTTTTCACAGAAGAGTCCGGTGTGCAGCTTTAAAACTGTCTCACAGTTGTAGCTGGTCTTTGCAACATCCAGAAGAGCTCACTTTAAATTAAACCAGAGCTGTTTCAGGAGCCGGAATCATTACTTACAGACACTCCTGCTTCATTATTTATTCACTGGATGTGTTGCTTATGTTAAGATGCTCATTTGCCAGCAAAACTGAGCCTAATACTAATTAATGCCTGGTTGTTTAACAACCAAACTGCAATGCTAAATACCCGGTCTTAAAAACATTTTCAAGTGTCAGGGGTCATTTTTCTCCGGTAGCCCCATCATGTTTACTAATGTTTCAGGTGTTGTCTGCTATCCCCGGTGGTCTGCTATTTGTTTGTTAATGTTCCCTCCAGCTCTGTTTAATGAGAGCAATGGCTGTCGTTATAATGAGCCTCAGTTAAATCACCTCTTAAACTGATAATACAAACTAAGGGCTCTCACAGCTCATGAGGATTCCCCTCCATGAGATCGCCGGCGGGTTTCTTTTAACCTAGAGCTGAATCAGGAACGTGTTGGCAGTCCCCTTTAGCAGAGGGACGCTTGTCAATAGCTTGTTAATCTTGATGAGTTTGATAAGAAATGTGTCCCCACGCCTGTGAGCTGAAGGGAAATATGCTAATTAAAATTCCTGCATGCTGGCAAACTTGAATCATGAAAGACAGTCTCATTACAGGCTAAAAGAGAAATCAATTTTAGGGTTTGGGTTTCACTGAAGATTAGCAGACACTGTGGGACGATTTGTCATGTTGAGGATATTTCTTTACGGCCTCAATTCTCTTTCATCGGTGCAGTGTCCCTGCTGTCCCCAAGCTGTCACCACACATTACTCCTGCGACTCGACTGCAGGTCATTGCAGAGATTAACCTTCTTATTATTACGATCAAAACAAACTTTTTCATCAGTTTTTATCACATTTTACTGCTGCTATTGACGGATTCATGTTTGATTTATTTGTTGATTTGTTCGTTGTAATTAGATGAGCACTTCATACACTTTTTGATTTAATTCTGCCGAGTTGAACGTCTCCAGTCTCACACATTGAAGGATGTCGCTTTTAAGATTTCTGCCTCTTTACTTTGAGGTAAACGTTTTAGTTCTGATTCTTTTAAAAGATTAAGGGAGAAACCTGCAGCCTTGTACTGCTAATAAAATTTACGTGGCGACTTCCACATCATAAAATCAGTTTTCTGCTCTGGAACAAATGCATATATATGTATATATGTCAGTATTTATGGATTTTTCTGTGGAACATAACTTCAAATTATTCACAGAAATCCCATCTATTCACTGATTTCTTTTTATAGAGCTTTTCTAAGACATTAGAAAGAAAATGCAGCTTTGGGAATTGAAACACCAATAGGCACTGTGCTATTGGCTGGTGTTGTTTAAAGCAGCCAATCCAGGACTTTCTATCTTAGATAACTACCGATCAGGTAATTTGATGTCGATTAATTTGGTTGGATTTCTTAGAGAGCAGCCATTCAGGAAAATCAGGACACAATCTGTTGTATGTTCATCAGATGATTCATTTGTTCCAGTTTTGACTCAGATTAGTTAAATGTCTCCATATGGGGTCCAGTAATTCAGCTTTACTTGTTTGTTTGAAATCCACAATTTTCATAGTAAACAATGCTTGATTGGACACGGCTGAACTCTTCATTGCTGTGTCGTTCCTCATGTGCTGCAGCTGGAGATGTCAAACCCGGCCGATGGAGGCAAAGACGACAGCAACAACAAGACTGTTGTAAGTGGAAAACTTAAAGCCCTTCCAACCCCATTATGATTTTTATGTTTTTCATCTTTCTCCTTATCTCCTTTTCCTTCCCTTCCTCCACTGACATAACAGATCATTGTAGCCTAAAGTGGCTTAACGTCCTGTTACTGCATTTGTCATTGAATTAATCACCCAGACTCAGCCGAGATTGGAAATAAAGCAGCTGTAAACACTAAAATGCCTTCCACATGTGTGTACGTCTACACTCCCACACACTGGTATATCCAAACGGGGTGTGATGAATAGATTAAAAACTGAAAATGGCCACCAGGCATCTCACAGCATGAGTGGAAACATTACACACAGTAATATGTTGGACAATAAAAACTCCTCTGCTTTTTCTCTGCCACCTGTCAGAGATCTGGAGCAAACTGTTTAATTATTTACCTTCTAAGTCTCTTCCCTCTGCCTCTCTCTGCTTCCTTAAAGCTCATCTCATTTTGTGACGTTATGTGCGTGGATGTGTGTGTGTGTGTTTGACAAGTATCACTTTGTTAGAAATATAGCTGATGTCTAAATTGAAATCTGAGCTTCATCCGTAACCGATTTATTGTTTCTCTGGACAGACGTGGTGAAACCTTCTGATGTTCTCATATATTTATCACAGAAATTAATGCATTAAACTTTTACAAATTTAAGCCTTTTTTTTTCAGGCTGAAATTATTAAACATCAAAAAATCAAGATGAGGGTGCCCAAGTTTGAATTTATTATGAGATTTCATAAATCAAATGTATTTGATTTATAAATGCAATCATAAATTCTCCAGATGTCTCTAGACTAAACTCAAATTTTAGCGCAACAATTCGAAAATGAATGTTTGGGACAACAACCTCAGCCCATCACCCAATAAAAGCTACCAAAACCACAGTGAAACATGGAGGTGGCAGTATCACAGTGTGGGATTATTTTATTTGGATGCTCCTGGATTTTCTTTTTGTAGTGAATGTATAGATGAATTGTTCTAAATAGATGTCAATTTTGGCCAAAATTGTGAAAATTGTTTGCTAGTAGGATAAAAAAAAATTAAGTCATGTTTAATTTCTCAGCATCAGTGTGAGTCCAGTTTTGCATCCAAGTCAGATGAAGAAAGATCCAATTAAAAATTAAAGTTTTGGGATGGCATAGCCCGAGTCCAGAAATTGGATAGAAAATCTGTGGTCCTGTAGAGGGCAGCATACAACTGACTACGTTCCAATCTCATAGATTACAAGAACCTTTACGAGTTGGAATGGACATATTTTGTCAAATGAAGTTGTGGGATGCTGTCAAAGAGGACAATATGGTAAAAGTGTCTCATTGTTTAATTTAAGGGTTAATAATCTTGTGCATGGTGGTTAGATTTTCTATTTTGCTTGAATTGTACATTATAAATGTTTGGTTATATGTGGGAAATGTTTAGAAATGATATTGGGGGACTATTGCTGTAGAACATAAACTTGGCTCTTCTGTCCCACTACTTATGTTTATTTGATTATCTCAATGTGTGGATAAGAAAAAATATATTTGACTTGTGCAACACCCTAAAAAATACTTCCTTAAATAAAACATGAAAAATTAAATGCATATGATATTCATGATGAGTGAATGTAAACTGCAGCCAGCTCTGAGTTTCCATATGATTCTGAAGCCCTAATTCTATTTTAATTTGTTTACATCAGCGACTGATGTCTGATTTATTCATTGGTTCTGTTTGTGTGTTTTCATGTTTGCAGGAAGCCACACTTTCAGCAGTGGTGTCCTGCAGTCAGGAGAAAAGAGGTCCCACAGAGAAAAACTCAACAAGTCCTATTCACTCAGAGAGGGAAGCCCTGCTAGTTGGTAAGCTGCCGCCACTTTCGCATCAATGTCTTCATTCAGGCTCAATGTTCTGTGCAAACTGAAGCTCTGTGGGGTCTTTTTCACTCTCATTATTTTACAGAGACTTGTTTAAGCAGATTCAGTTTATTTGCTCCTTCAGTTGACCAAACAAATCTCAAAATTAAGGTCACTTATTCATCCATCCTTTTTTCTCAAGGAAAAAACACTAAGACCGCTTTCAGTTCAGCTGAAACGTATTAAATTAATATGTATTGGAGCTATTATCATTGTAGGCTTTCCTATAATCGAGATTATTATCAAATAATACTTCCATGCCCAGTCGTCTGTCCTGTTGGTGAGCGAATGCTTCTCTTTGTTCCACTCAGTTTAATCATCTCTAATCGATAGAGTGTCACTCTGATGGTCATTATTTCATCATGCTTGTTTATTTACCCAAAAAATTATATCTGTTAGTTAGTAAATGTTTTGCTCTGCCCCCAAATCTATAAAGTCTGCTTTTCACAAATGTCTTTTTGAATGAGACAAGATGCAGATGAAACCAGACGTTTACAAACACTGGATAAAAAGACACTATCTGCGTTTCCAATAGAAATTTCTGCAGAACTTTGTTGTAAAGTTTGGTCTGATTTAACATCATAAAAAACAGTGAGAAAAAAAAGTCCTGCAACTAGCTAAGTATTTCATTAATGCTTTTCACCTGGATCTGTGTTATTGCCATGTTCAAATCTATGCATCCCTTAAGCTTTTCCAAAACACACATAATGGAATGGTTTCGATCAACATATGTTCATGAATTACAAAGGCATTTTCACAATCCACACCTAAATTCAATTAAGCGTTTACAAGAATTAAACATTGATATTCACAGATTCACCCTGTCTAATCCAACTGAGTTATTTTGCTAAGAAGAACGGTCAATATTTGTCACATTGTAGCAGTGGAAAGCTGCTGGAGACATACTCTGTGAAACCTGCAGCTTTTTCTGAAAGGTATTGGCTCAGGGGAGCTGTGCACATTTACATTTTTTGTTATTTATTAATGAAACCAAGGTAACATTTTTGTTTCACTTCACAATTAGGCAGTTTTATGTCTAACACATAAATTCCCAATAAAGTTGTTTGACAGTCCATTAAAATATCTTCTGATGTTTCACTGGCAGCCCTTGTAGCTTAGTTTAACTCTGGCATGCAGAAGTGACTGTGACACATTAGACAGATGTGTGGCGTCCTAATTAAGTTCATTAAATTAATTGAGCCATGCACAGATCAAGGACAAGTAGAATTAACAGCCACTGTCTAAACACATTTGTAAATTAGATACTTACATGTATTATTGTTAATAAGGCAATTTGTGGAGGAAAATTGAGCTTTGAGGGAAAATAAAAACAAGCAGAGGGGAATAAAAACGTTGTTTATGCCTTTCAGAGAACATGCATTATCACCGCTTCACGTTCCTACCACTCCACAAGTGTTAAAGTTTTGCACTTGGAATAATTCTTGTCTATGCTGCAGGCTTTGTGGTGTTTGTTGACAGAAAGCATGGTGTCAGAGTGTAAGCTGCAGATGCTGCTCCATGCCTGGTTGAGTTTGCAGACTACAGGAACTGAAGGACGAAAAGAAGGAGGAACACCTGCAGTTTTTGTTCATTTATGAAAAAGGAAACCAAGAATTATTCATATTTAAATGCACCGACTTGAAGGGAGGATAAATCCCAGCATGTAACTCACACAAACTAGAAGCTTTGTACAGTTGGAGAACATTTTTCTTTATTGGCTTTTTCATGGCATACATGCAGAGCAAAGTTTTTTTGTTTGTTTTGTTTTTTTGGGGGGACGGGGGGGTAAATTCAGACGAATAACTCAGAGAGACTTGGACTTGTTGTTCTATCTGAGTGCTCCATTAAACTCCCATTCAGCTGAGCAGCTCCAGACAGGCGCGTTGTTTGTACTCGAGCATTGATTGACCTCCTGCAGGTGACAAAAATGAAGTCTTGGTGCAGCATTATGCCTCTTTGAAGCTTCAAGCGACGGTTGTGTTTCTGCTCAGCCAGAAGCTGTGCGTACTGAAGTGTGTTGCGGCTACGTCGGTGGTTAGTGAGCACAGACAGAGAGCTGGCTCTCCTCTGGTCTTCCTCTGCGAGCTGATGGCAGATGGTTTGTTTGTGCTGGGGGAGAGTGTGGCTTTGATCAGAGACAACAGCATCAAAGGCATCATTAAACTCTCTTTCTAATCTGGAGCGACAACATACAAGAGGCTTTTAACAGTAATGGGACTCGGGGAAGAAGTCGGTTAAAGCCGCTCCTCCACTGAGCCCAAGGAGACGATGAAGAGTGGAGAAAAAAAGAATGAAAAAAAACCGGTTGCTCCAGACGTCCTCTGGTAATTTGTCAATGTTTAATGGTTGAGTGAAGCTGGAAGTTAAGAGCTTTGCATGACTTATTATTTTTCTCTCCTAAGGGATCATCTCAACCTTCCTGCACGTCCACCCGTTCGGAGCCAGCATCGAGTACATCTGTTCCTACCTCCAGCGTTTGGACACCAAGGTAATGCTTTGAATCAAAGCTTCCACTGAGGAGCGCTGGAACGCTGCTGCCATTTGGTATAAATCTACATTACATGCATTTATACAGACGGCGTGTTGGTCCGTACTGCTGGGCTGACATATGGGCTTGGATATTCACTCAAACTTAATCCAAGTGGACCTCCCTAACGCTTTTAGCAGGCTGTTCCACAGAGGTGGATGGATTTACTAGAACAAAATCACTTTAAAGGACAGTTTGACGTCCTCACAGATGCACTCGCTTGGCCCCCCGCTGGGAGGTAAATGAGGGGACAACAAAAAAATAGCACACATCATTAAATATTTAGTCCTTCATTGAGAAATGTTCCTATGTTGATGTGATTTTTTTTTTTCCTGGAAATGAAAGGATTTAATCACAGTCAACAACATTGAGCTAATCATTTTGTTAAAGTTAGAACGCCCTTAAGAGCTGATGGTTTAAACAATTTAGTGGGAATAAAGTCATGAGATGTTTCTTGTGGCCATCTGCAATCTAATGAAGGTCTGCCCCATTCCTCACTCGCTCCTGCATGTGCAGTCTGCTTCAAAACACCCCTAAGCATTACAGTCAAGTTACAGCTGCTGAAATAATCCTCCTGATTCTCAGATTTGTTCAGAACCTGAAAATCACAGGAATGTACCTTCTCTCATGCCGTAGCATGAATGTCAGCTTGATGCAAAATCAAAAAGTTTAGTCCACTTATACGGATTTGGAGACACAGCTGATCAGGCTGATTGAGATTCAACAAACATAACTGTACTGTAAAACAGCAACAAACCATAAGGTTTCTTCTGAAAATGCAAACGTTTAATATCGGTTGCTATAGCGTTGCAGCCCACTTTATGTGAGGATTTTCAGTTTTAAATGTTTTAAATGGTTAAAATCATCATAAACATGCATCAGTCTGGATGTTATAACTCCACTGCTGAGGATTTATTTACTTTTCTGCAATCTGACAGTAATATGACTGTAGCTGAAGGTGCTGTTACTTCACAGAACCTCAATTCAACAAAAATCTGCAACTTTTTCTGATGTGTACAGCCTGTTCCACATCTGGCTTTAATAAATGATTTTTTTACGTAATTAGAAGCCTCTTAAAGATGGTGAATATTAACATAAAATAATTAAGGGTAGGAATTTGCAGCTCTGTAAAAAAACAGCGTTTGCCTCCATGGAGCCGAACTTTAATGAAATGTTTACAGTCATCTGGATCAGTATCTCTCCAGGCGTTCTGAAAGTCTGTCAAAGTATTTCTTAAAACTTTTCTTTTAAACCAGCACCTGGACTTTTTTTTTCTTTCTTGAAGCAACTCGACTTGTATTTTTCTCAAAGGGAAAATGGGTTTTCAGCAAGTCAAATCCAGACATTCATAACACAAGTTATACTAAATCCACCAACTTCAGAATCCAACAACTTTCTGTTTTCTGATACTTTGATTGCACCAACCAAAGCCAAGACAGCTCCTCATAATAAATAAGCATTGAGTCAGGGCCATCTTGGATTTAGCAGAGAAGTGGTAAACACAATTTATTTCAACTTGTTTAATTAAGAAGTACAAAAGTCCTATTTCTTAAAAGTCATGCTGTTTAGGTACTGCTTAAGCTAAAAATCTGTTCTTTTGTTCTTATTATACCCACTTGTAATATTTTTACTTGTTTTATTTTATATTTTGGCATATGTTACACCTCACTTTGTAATGGTCAGGCAAGAAAAGTCCAATCTGTGGTCAAAGGACCAGTCCCTGAATCTGGACACACCCACTATTTAAATCTATTCTGAGCAGCAAGAACAGAAAATGTCTCACCCTTGGTTCCAAGCTGCTTATTGTTTAGTGAAAGTCTATACGTCTGTGGTTACAATTTACTGTTAACTGAATGCAAGAAACTTTATTTATAACAGATGCAGATTGTATGCTGTGCTTCACATTTTCCATTTGCAATTAATTGTCAGTAAAAGTTTCTCGCTGAAAAACAAAAACAAAACCCTGTCTGTCTAAATTTTGACAGACAGTTGTTGGTTGAATAAAATCAATGCAAGGCTTCAAAATGACCTGTAAGCTTTTTGCTTTGTTTTCAAATGATTGTGTTTAACTTGAATACAATCCCAAATACTTTTTGTTCTGTAGTTGAGGAGAATTTACCTTTTGAGGACTTTGTTTCTGACTTTAAAAATATTTAACACTTTTCCATGACGTTGTTGTGGGAGTTCTCCTCATGCCAGACTATATTAAAACCGATCCATCAGTCTGTCAGTTGAAGCCGAGCACCATCTCAGTTTCTGACATTCGTTTTTGATGAAGTTCAGCCACATCATCTCGTCTTTCTGATGAGGCATTTCACTCCCATTATGACTCCTCTCTGGCACTTAGATTGAGGCTTTCAAATCACCACCTTTTAGCATCGCCTCCAAAGAGTAGGACTAACATTAGTTTCCATCTGTGACGACAAAAGTATTATTTACCTCATCACTTCGATATTCAATTTGTCATCTTTAGAAACTTTTTCTTGTCTACTAGAGAAGTTGTTCTTTTCATCACCGCCTTGACTCATTCTCACGTATACAGTGAGTGTGACGGTCCTCTCGTGCATATTTTTGTTATTATTATTCCTCTACTTTATGTTCATGTGTTGGCTTGTGCACCCGCCCACGCTTTTCTGTCTGCGTGCGTCTGATTTCTTTTTTTTTTTCTTGTGCATCTGTTGTTCCCACGCTGACTCTCCACCACACACACCGTGTAGCCCACAGAGTTTTGTCAATATCATTGGCTAGACTCCCCAACTACAAGCTCAGTCCTCTACACTTATCTACTGGCTCCACACACACCGCTTCATTGTAAAATGGCAATCTCTTTTGCATGGCGGACCTTCATGTGTCACAGTATGAACACTCACAGATTAATTCAATACACCGCAGGTTGATCGTAGATCCTCAAACTGTTCATTTCGACGTGATCATGTGGGATTTCAATTGGCCGGCTGATCCTCACCCCACTCATGTCAGAGGAGGGTTTATAAGAGCTGATGTGCCGAAATCAGAGAAGAACGCATGTACGTAGGAGCTGCTCAATGGATGACACATAGAGGTGAAAAGTTTTATTTCACAGTAGTTTAATCATTTTCTCGACAGAAAATGTTTCTGGGTGATAAATTTAGAGGGTTTTCTGAAAACACAGTGGCGTTATCACACTACTAAAATGTCAAAACAAATATTGACAAAAATACTTGATCACAGCAACATTTAAGTTTAGAGCAAAATATATGATAAGTTACACAAAAAAAGTTGGGGAACACTTCAGCCCTTGTTTATAAAATATGATTTAAAAATGTCACTTCCTTGTTTGATTAAACAGTGGACAAGCTAACACAGTTATTAGCACCAATGTTAATAACTTTCCAGTAATATTTTTTATATCATAAATGTGGCCCTTACTGTAGTGCACCACTGCTGATACAGAAGATTTACTGACCTTTTTCAGCTGCTCTCTAACATTAGTGTAACATGTAGTGTTAGCATGTAGCAGTAGCACAGCTAGTATGTGGCTTCATTCCACATCCCCTTATTTCTTGTCTTATTGCCTCAGAGAAAAATGGATGACACCTCTCAACGCTGTTGTGTTTATGTTGGAACTTGTGGAACTTGTACTTTTTCTATCAATATTAAGGGATTATGGGCTTAAAACAAGATGCTATCGCACTGAAAAGTTACTCGCTAGTTGGCCTTTTTTTTCTTTAGATGCACTAGAAATTAGACTAAAAATACTTGTTCATGTTTTGTTCATGTTAGGCAGAAAGCAACCCTTGACATGTGAACTTGTCTGTCTGTCTGCAGATTAACCCCAGTGAGGTGGAGGCTCTCCTTTCCCGGCTGCCCTGCACCTTCAGGCAGGAGCTGACTGGCGTTGGAGCGAGTTTGGAGAAACGCTGGAACTTCTGCGGCTTTGAGGGCATAAAGAGCACTTAGGCTCCACAGGTGACACTTCTGGGACTTCAAGAAGACGACAGGCAACACAGACTTTGTAGCAATGTGAAAGATACAGTATCTAGCTCACAAGTATCAAAGACTCTGTACTGAATCCTGACTGTACAAGGGACACAGAGGACTGATCTCAGATCAAGCGGGAATGTTACATGAGCACTTCAGGGACTGTGTAGGTGGCAGAGACTTTAAACATCATCGCTGTGGAGACCAAGCACCCACGATGGAGTCCTCAGAAGCTTGATCTCCGAGTTCCTGTGCATCTGCAAAATATTTTTAGACATGATGACTCCCTGGGAGTCACAGAGGAGCACCAGTTTCTACCGTCACTGGATCATCGCGTAGTTTTGCCCACAGGAGCAGAGCGTGGTGCGTTTGGAGTCAACACGTGGATCTGTCTGGTATCAGGTCTACAGGGCTAATCCAGGAGGAGATGAGGGTGTGTCCTCCCAACCCGTCGACCTCCTTCTCTTCTCTTTTTGCTGTTGCCGGTTTGTAACATAGATCAAAAACGAATATATTTCTTCATTTTCTGTAAAGGCTGTCAGCAGTTGCATAGACTCATTTGTTGTAATACACTGTAAATGCTTGGATGATATTTTTGAATATAAAAGACATTTGAATATAAAGAAAACAGCAAAGTGTCTGTATTTTTGTGCATCTGAGGAGCAGGTAGAGGGGTTTGTGTGACTGATATGCACAAGACAAGTAGGCTACCTCTACGTTTGTGCTCATTCTTGCTTGAAGAGCCGTGTTTTTTTCTCGTTTCCTTTATCTATCAGGAGCTGTACTCAGAGCTGGGTTTAGAAGCTTACATAAGGGCATTTGTGTCTTTCAGAAGCCAATTAAGCCCGTCTGTCAGCCTGGCGAAAGGCAGAACGTTCGCATCACACTTAAGTGGGAAGCACACCTAGGGGATCGTGTTAATGATGTTTAATTGGAGAGGCAGTTGGTGTGTGTGCTTTCTGGCACCGAGTGAACAGCAAACTGTATTGTTTGTGTACTGTGCCTGCATCCGTGTATTAAATGGTTCTGTAGCTCTTTATGGAGTGGGGGAAGTCATCTGCTGCACCTCCTGCAGATAGAGAGCTCACCAGCACCAGGGCCGGAGGTTCCCCCCATCACCGAAAACCCAGTCGAGCATTCTTAATGCGCCGCCACTGGGCCGTGGGGCAGCATGCTCTCTTCCCCGATTGCTCTGAGAAACAGATTTATTATAATGTGTGATTTGCTCTCATTTAGCCTCCTCAGACTCATGCAGTCACTGCTTTTGAAAAATTAGCGCCTCTGCATACTATTCTTCTAGCTCAATGTAATGTTTTAAAAAAAAGGCCATAACTTGCCATTTGGACAAGCTATTGTTTAATTGTTTAGGATGCCCAGCTGCTCTTCCTGGTGTCCATTAAAAACACACAACACAGAGTAGAAATCTTTCAATAACAGATTTAACATGTATATCTGTCAATTTAACCATTCCAATTAAAAGTATGTTGCTCCTAGAAAGCTTTTCAGCTACTTTTTAACTGCGTGACCATTGCATCATGTTATGATGTTACTCCCTTATCAAAAACATACCTGGAATGTTGCCTTGATTCCTTCATGCATGTTTGAGAATTTTTTTAATTTTGTCACAGCAATCATTCAGCTGTGCACAATGCCTGGTTGGACCTAGCACGGACGCAGCTACTCATAGCTGCAATTTCAGTTCCTCCAGACTAGCCAGCAGCAATTAGCAAACATCTTGTGCAACTACCAATCTTATGAGTTCATTATACAGATTACAAAACATTGTTAGAGGGTGACTAGAGGAGTGATGTTTTGAATTCTTAAAGTGGGTGTTTTAGAAAAAGCAGGAGCTCTTAAAGAGACAGAGGCCCAATTTCCAGGCATTCAATTACAAAGTAAAATTTCCTTAAAGTCATATTTTATATAACATTTTTATAATGACTGTGATATGAACTTCGTTTTATCACAATAATTTGAGGTGCTATTGTGGTAACAATAAAAGTGGTTGTAAAAACTATAAAAATTTTTAGGTACCTGTGTGACAAACAAACATTCCTATTTACAACATGTTTCTTTAAGAAATGAGTCATGTAAGGATGTGTTGTTTGTGTCACTATACTGAACATAACTACATTTAAAAATAACAATCCTGACAAAAAAGACCTTTTTATAAAAAAATGTACATTTATTGTGAAAACAATAATTAAAAATGATCATAAGAAATATGTCACAATAAATTATACTCGATACAATAAACGCCCACCCTAATCAGCTCATGTGGGAGAATATATAGGAATGGACAACTATTATGCATGCACTCAATAAATCTGGACTTTATGAAGGAGTAGAAATACAAAAACCCACTTTTGAATCTGAGGCTTAAGGAGCCATGTTGAATATTTTTTCATATAGCCTAACATGTAGGGGACACGGCATCTACATAGAGGCCAAAAATTGTTAGTTGGTTCTGGGTTTGAAGTCGTTCTGCATAGAGTCAACATGTCCCGAGTTTTCTCTGTATTCCTCCCATGGTCCAATATACTGTATGCAACGATTGCCCTCATGTATGAAGTTATAGGTGGATGGTTTCCTCCATGTTACTCTGTGATGGACTGGTGACCTGTCCAGGTTTTTCACCCTGTTAGCCAACCAGCCACTCCCCAAGCTAAAACATTCAAAAAACCTTGACAATTACTCATCTCTGAAATCCCAGTGAGAGACACTTAAGTTTATGGTTGAGTCATGTTAAAAGTAAAAGATATGAATGCTTTTACATGGCACAGTATGAGCAAAAAGACTCCCACTTTCTCTTTTTTATGTAACCCGTGCTGCAGTTATTTGTGGTTGTAATGATGTTACTGAAGGATGTGGAGGTTTATGTCCACATTTTTCCCGTTTCTGTCGGCCTGACAGAGCACTTGGGATTGTTGCGAGATGTTGCCTGTGCACCGCGACGCTTCCTCTCCACGCTGTGTGAGCCGAGCTCAGCAGAACATCCCCCAATGACAAACTCCAGCACACCTCACACCGACCTCTTCCTTCCCCAACGCGCTTTACCTTCCTGCACTCACTGACACAAACAAAACACCTATACGGCGCTTTTGTGTTTTTCAAAAGCTGCTTTTCTGTGTAGAGTTTCCTCCCAACTGAGCTGCCATCCCCACGCGCTGATAGACTCGGGGCGTTCACAGTTTATCTCCTTTACAGCTGTCTGTGACGGGGAGGATGAAGACACAAACATGCTTGTGATCGTGCTTTAGGTTCTCCGGCATCACATGAGGAGGTAAACAAAGACTAATTAAATCCATCGGCAGTCCCCGGTGAGCGCCCCTCTCCATTTGCTGTTGCCTTCTCATTACTGTGACACAGTCAGGAGTCTCCTCGTTAATTCAATTCAAGGTGTATGCAAGCAAAAGGAGGCAGATCACCTCCCCAGCAGTGATTATGCCAGAGGACTCTTTCCTTGTAAAAGTGCTGTGAGCGATATCAGAGGATGTCCTCAGGCATTTGTTGATGTTAAACTCGAATAACCTCTGCTCCCCAAACCCTACATTTCAGGTTGTTGTCTCAGACGCAGATTTCCAGGAGTTTTTGCTACTTTTTTTCCACATTTGTCACGTTACAACCACAAACTTATATGTATTTTGGTGAACTTTTAGGTGATGGACCTTAATAAAGTTAATTACTGTGAAGTGATACTTGCTTGTTCACTTTGTTTTTGTGAATGTAAATCTAAAAATATAAACTGTGCCCTGAAGTTGTACGTTTCAGTTCCCTAAGCTCTTCTTTAGAACATCCTGTCTCTGCAAACGCAGATGCAGGTCATTTGGGGTATTTCTGTTCCACCATTACACATCGGTAAAGGTGTGTAATCTCTGTATTTGCTCCCTAACTCAGATTGTTTGATCTAAACCACTTCCCAAAATTTGATTCAAAAATACTTTGTTTATCCCAAAGGGAAAGTAAATGATGTCATAACTCATATCATCCAAGCAGCTTCAAAGAGTCATTGTATGTGGTGATCTCCAGTAACAGTCAGTCTTGTAATGAATCAGAAGAGGCCTCTGACTGAAGCCTGTTGCTGTATGACAGTTTCATGACTTTAATGACGTGCTAACAACGCAATATCAGGACAGCAGACAAGACTTCTTTCATGCCCCTTTTGTTCCATAAAGCCCGGCTTTGTCACCTGCATTCCTATCTTCTGTCGAGTTCACAGTTACATGCTATTTTATGTTGGTTACCACATAAAATCCCAGTGTGAAAAAGTTATGCTTGCTTCATGTTGCGGACAGATTGAATTGGATGTATGATAGGTCCACTTGGCTGAGATCTTATTACTCCAGCTATACTTAATTACTTTTTTTCTGCTCACGACGGAGACTTAATTATGTTCACGGCGCCTCTTGAGTGAGCAGATGAGATGGGACGCCATCTTTGTATTCACCATGCGGCCCAGAACACGATAAACAAAGACCCCTGGAAGAGGATTAAGAGAACATAGAGGGGCTTCACCTCTAAGCTTGTCCACATTAAATTCACAGGCCCACAGGTTCACAGTTGAGGAGTTTGAACACATTAAGCACCATCTCCCTGCCCACTCTGCTGCTGCTGCTTTGGCTGTCAACAGATAAATCAATGAAAGTGGCTCAAAGCGCTCTGTGACAGGAAGTGATGAGTCAACAGCTCCTCCTGTTGAGCTCAACAGCAACTACACTCACTTCTGAGCTGTTTCAGACCAGGACCAGGTATGATTCACACTGAGAGGAGGGCTGTCCCAAGCATGTTAATTCAGGTTCCTTATACATTTTATTATCCCACAAGCTGTTAAAACTCATCATATTTCCACCTCCACAGCCACTCGAAGCAACATCTGATCTGTCTTTTCTATACATATTGTTCCGATATGGCCAAAAACCTGTCAAGTTTTAGCTCAAATATATGTGGATGGTGTGAGAGTAACCGCTCTAGACTGTTCTCCAGGGTGTCTGGGGTTTTAAGCTGCAGATTTCAGTGGAGCATGTCGTGCTATGCATCCTTTATTTCTCTGTCTGCCTCCTTCCTTTCCTCCCACTGTAACCTAAATGGATCCCCATACAAAGCAGGCAGGAGCTGAAAGCACGCCGTGAATGCCCATAAGGTATTTGCACCCGCTTAGCAGGCTCCCTGTAACATTAAATGCCTCCCTGCAGGTGAGAAGAATTGTACGAGTTAAGTAACATTTGCCAGAAAATCTTCCATTATACATCAATACTTTCATTGAATTCCTCCAGAAACGGTCTATGATTTAAACAGCAAGGTCCTTCACTTACTGAAGCTGGTGGGTTTGATTGGTGCTTGATCTGAATGTCAGCGCGGTGTGACTCATGCCAGCCTAGGTGGGAAAGGGCCTGTTGCTCCTAACGAGCGTCACGCTGTTGTGAACGGAGAGGACCTTTAGCAGAAAGGAACTGACACCAATTATCTGCACAGGTAAAGGTTCATTTATATTTGTGTGTCTAGAATTGCCAATCAAGCAGGTGTGGACAGTTTGGTACTTTCACATAGCTGAAGAAGAAGAACTCCTCTAACCTGAGAAACATTTAAATGTAGAAATTAAATGCGTTATCTTGCTCCGTTGACATTTCTACTGACATACAGGAAGCATCTTTCGTTTAGCAAGAATAAAATGCGTTGATGGGGTGAAGTGGTTGTGAGATTTTCAACAAGCTTTTGTGCAACAGCAAACAAGAAGCAGCTTTCTGATTCACCAGGTGTGTTTAGGTTGATGGCACCAAACAGCAGCTGGTAGATTTCAGTGTCTTTCATTCTTATA